AAAGAATGGGGAAAAAAGATCCAAACTGCGCGTGTGCTTGCATTATGAAAAGCCTGGGCACATTGTGCGGGATTGTTACCGTCAACAGGGAAACATGCAAAGGGCGTAGTTGAAGTCCAGATTCCAGGTGCGACTACCTCTCATTCTCTACTCCCTCTCGCTTACTCCAATCAGCCTCCTTTGTGTCTCGCCACCCCATTTAGTCACTCAAGCAACCTGGCTAGGTCTGTCGTCGACCCTACATGACCTAACCAGGTGGGGGCAGCATCCACATACCTCGCTGCCCCTCTTAACCCTAACCTCCAACAATAATCCGAGATTAGATTAACCCTAACCTAATTCGAAATTAGACTAACACCTCTCGCCAACAAGCGAGTACGCTCCGAAGCAGCTATGTCGCTGCTCATCAGGCCACCATGCCTGACTCTGCCTCGAGCTTCCTTGGTGCGGCACTACCCCAACTGGGAGCTTTAAGATGCAGCGCCCATCAAGGTGATGACGATGGTGTCCACCATAGCCAGGTAGGACCTCGCCACTCTCCTCCTTCGCCCCCCTTCTTCCTCCTCCTCAGGCTGGGCTGCTCGCCATAGCCAGGCTGAGCGCCCATCTGCTCTCCTCCTCCAGGCAGCGTTAGTCCAGCACTGGGTTCCAACAGTATGTCGCCAATCCTTGCACACCGCAAATGAGGAGGAGCTACTTGCTCCTCCCGAAGATATAGCGGCCTACTTGCCTCTTGGGCGGTGACTTCCTAGGCCGCGCGGCCTCCCCGCAACCGGTACCTCCTCCCTTTCGGAGGGAAACTTCATTGCAGGCTCTGACATCGTCCATACAGGCCTTAGACTCAGGCTACTTAGACTGGTACCGGCCTACCTCTAGCCTACCGCTACTGGGCCTCTAAAAATGCCGACACTGTCTTTTTCTGCTCGGCCTCGAGTGCCCGACACTTCTACCACTACTTGAGTGGTACCGGCCTACCTGCTACTTCAGTGTTTTCCCCACTGCTCTAAGTGTCGTGTGCCTACCCCCGCTACTTGTGGTTTTCCCCGCTGTAACCCTCAAAAGTCACGACCACGGATAAGTACCGGTTTTGCTGGGCCTCCCAACCAGCAAGTACCCTTGCGGGTCACACACACACTCAGGCCAACAAGCACTCAAACAGGCACGCAGACCAGCACACACAGACTTAGAAATCACAGCAGAATGCGGGAACGTCAGCAAGGCATACATTCCAGCAGCAAATCAAGTTCTTTCATTTCTTTTGCAATTGAACGGCAGGGTGTTGTAGAGGCCAATGACCAGACCCGCGGTGATTGCTAGTAGCGGCAGCCAATGGTTGTCCTGACAGGATAGGCCACCTATCCTACCCATCCCCACGTTAATACTCCCAGAC